CCCCCCCCCCCATCCATCTCTCTCCCCCTCACTTGGTCACTGTTTGTTCAACAAATGCAGGTAACCCTTTGACCTTTCAAAAGATTATGTTTGTGATGGCTTGCTGAGGAGGTCAGGCAGAGCAATGTGCATCTGTCTCCTCGTCTGTTATTCAGCCAATAAATTGGCACTGTGAAAACATCTAAATATTAAATATGACAGACGATGCAACAAGATAAGGTTCAGGGTGTCACCTGACACCCCAACGTGAGGCCCGAGCCTGTCTCTGGCCCCCGAGGTTTACATCCACCTCAGATCATCAAGGCCGTTAAATAGCACAGTGCAGCTGTAGCCACAGATTGGAGTTTTAGTTATACAAATATTTCTCTGAGGCAGAGCTGCTCCGGAGGCAAAAATAAGCCCCAACTGCAATGATTGGAGCCAGAAACAGAGTGCAAAGTATCAACAGTAAGTGGTAAGGCAGTACTGCAAAAAGAAAGTTGAAGGGTCTGCTATCAGCTTCTAGAGGTAGCAAAATCTCATATGGCACGAAAAACATTAAAAATGAAAGACTTTAACTCAAGGTCCACTTAAGGTAAAACTATGCAGAGCTATGCAGAGCTTTTAACCAGTCCACCAATCAGTTAGTTCTCATGGAGCAAACTCCAGAAGAATACACCAAAAAACCAAGAAAGGCTGTAGGTTGCAGTTGAAAGTTCTACAAACATAGTAGTATATAGTAAGCAGAGAACCTTTTTGTAGTAGTTTGTATTAGTTTGAACTACTGAATTATTTTTTATGCTCAACACATTGACTGTTTTGTTATACTTATGATGAAAAAATGTGTCCTGAGGCTGATGCTGGTAGAAAGGTTTGTCTAAAATGAAAGGGGCTCATCCTGGAGGGACCATGAATGTGCTCAGTAACTTTCAGTCCATTAGAGTTTGATTTTGTGTGGACATTTTGATCTGATGTTGGTGCAGGAGCGAAGGACAGGGGTGACCAAAAATTCTTGGTTTAGATCAAAGGTTTTATTAAACGTGTGAAATGAGATAAATCGAAAACTTGGTGTAATCTACATGTTGATATCAGCCCATTCATTTCAGGTTACCCAGGAGACATTTCTCATAGTAGCTTTAATTAGCAAATACAATGACTTCTACGTAACTGGCAGTTTTTTGTCATGAGAAAGAGTGCTTATTGTTTTTACGTTTCCTATTTTTTGGAATGTGTCTAATGTTATCATCTAGAAAAAGTGTCATTTAGGCCCCGCCCGCTGACATTTAACACGACCAATGAGATTATTCCTGCCTCTGACACTGAGATTCACAACAATCCCAAACGAAAGGCAATTTATCACAGAAAACAAGGTAGACTGTCTTTCAGCTGTGAGGAAGAATCCCCCATGCTAGCGTGCCCTTGAGCAAGGCAGCTTCAGATGATCTGTAACTAAAGCTGCTCTGTGCTCATTAGGATAAATAATGACTAAATGGAAGTATTTCCTGTTGTCCTTCACTGCAAGGTTAATCTTTCTATTAATGATGCTGCTTCTTGGATTCCTCCCTTGCCGCAATGCTGGAACCTGCGAACAGCTCTGCTCTAAGGGCATCAACTTCAGCCTGATTGAATTTACTGAGGGAGTCGTGCAGACACAACAAAAGCAGCCACAAACATCAGACGGTCGACCTTTGAGTTGGTGCAGGAGGAGTGGATGCGGAAAGTTGGACTTTCATTTGTGACATTTCGACAGTTTGCAACGGGAGATGAAGCAGCAGATGAGAGCGGATTGCAGACATGTTGGACCACAAGAAAGAAAATCCCACTGAGTCAGACTGTGGCTGTGCATGACAAACGTCCAACAGAACAAAAATGATGATCGGGTTTTAGTTTGAGGCAATACCCCGCAGTGTGCTGTTTTGCTTTGTTGTATTGTTTTCTGTTATTATCCATGTCTGCTCAGTTTCGGTTTATTTTTAAATCTTGTTTGGCATGTGCTTTGACCCTGAGAAAGTTAGTAACTTTCCTGCTCACTTACATAAGCTGCAATGACGACTGAATATGTATGTGCTGGAGGAAAAGCTAACAGTCGCATTGGTAGATTTCAAGCAAACTGTGGCTTAAAGAAAGACGCCTCATCACTCCCCGCTGACAGGGTTTCATGAAACAATACCGGGAGCTGGGGGGGCATAAATCGCTGTTGCTCAGCATTCACACTCACAGCAGCTCAGCTCAGACTCTCCGATTGTTGCCTGCCTGGCTGATTGTTTACTCAACATATTGATCTTCACTTCGTGGCTCACTCCTCTGTATATTATCAGCTATCCCAGACAGGACTTAATCTGCTCTTCCCATTAACACATGCTAATAGGGAGCCGCTTCTATCTATATGCCTGCCAAGGCTCCCACAGATGACTCGTCAGTGTGGCTGGCTGCTGGCTGGCTGGCCGGCCAGCCTGCTCACGGCAGCTGAGGCCAAGCTCGCTGTGGGCAGGATTATCGGCTTACTTGTGTGTTCTGGGGGGATTTTTTGAAAGTTCTGTTCTGAAAACTGTGGCTAAAGTACAGCACTATGCCATAGACATGCTGATTGTCAGATTTGGGGTCTTGTTATGCGGCCATATGCAAAGCGGACAGTAATAATTAAAAAAATATACGCTGCACTAGGCAAGGTTTTGTAAACTTTCATGAGTCCAGAAGAAGATGGAGTCCAGCAGAGAGAGGCATCGTATCAGTGGCAAATGAGATGCAGATTCACAGTATTTGGCCAAATTTAATTCCAGTGCCAAGTATGGACACTGGAAAGAAGTTTGCTCAGAACACAAGAAAGGGTTCAAATCAGAGGTAAACAATATGAAACTTTGGGCAAGGAAATTCATTCTTGATCTTGGGAACAG